AAACCATTCGTACCATTGCATACGAGCCAGAACATCATCTCCGTAAGCTTGTTTCAAAAGTTGAAACGTTTCCGTGAAAGTTTTCCCCAGTTCCACGCAAAATTTTACGTTGCAGAAAATCGCACATTTCAAAAATTGTCGCTAGCACTTAAATATGTTGAACTCAAATAACAACATCACGGAAACTAAATGAGATATCAACAATCCAAGAACATGTGGTACAGAGAAGGTTATGTGTAACGCAATGCTGCCAACTGCTTATAACTAAATTTCTCCATTAGCGTGTAATTAAAAAAGTTCGGCTATTTTCTGAACAGACCTGGTACAGATAAACAAATGTTAACTGTCAAAATTAATTAAAAACGAAATGTCATTCTTTGTAATGAAAATGGAAGGAGATTGATTTTTAAAACAACTTACTGAAGTGCGTGATATGTGTATTTTTTATTTGTCTGCTTTTTGGTACATTTTTGATTAGGAAAAAAGTTTCATAAAAATGTATTCAATTATTTTTTTTTCATGGTTACCAAAATATCAGATAGAGGAAAAACAAGTTACATTTTTTCTTACACACTTAAATCTAGTAATTAAAAGAAGAAAAATCTCAGTAGGCCAAACAAAGTGTAGAATAATGACGCGGTGTTAAATTGCTTTTATCCACGACTATTGTATAATGTACCCATTATACGTCTGTTTGCGACCTTAATAATACCCATTAATCACGGCAGTGATTAATGAGTCATTAATCACTACTGTCAGATGCTTCCTTAATTTAGCTATAATATTATATTGTTCTGCTACAAACAATCCGTTTTTAAAATTTTATCGTGTAAACCACTAAATATTTTCAATTCAGTGCTGTACATATAAAAAAAAAATTAAAAAAGTGAATTTTCCTAGACCGGATTCGAACCCGGGACCCGCGGTTGGAAGGGAAAGAGCATCTACACTGAGCCATCAGCGACTTCATATGTGCGAGTCGTATATCTGTTTCTTAACATACCATGTTTTTCGAAACATTTCAAAAAAAACTTCAACAAAAATATTTAGTAGTCGTGGATAAAGTATAGTATTCTACTCCCGTATAATGGGTATTATTCACTCGGTGATTTAGGCCACTCGCCTGTAAACTTCACCTCGTGAATAATACCCATCATTATACGCTCGTTGAATAATATACTATTAAAAAATATCTAGTAGAATTTTTTAGAAATGCATCATCTAAAACAATATATTAGTAGGCTTAGGTATTTTCAATTATGAGGAAGATATTCATATTTGCACGAATTTATGGAATGTTTTGAAAAGAACAACATAATGAAAACTATGCAACTAAATATTACAAATAAACTGAAATGGTGTTGCTAGATTTCGAATTACAAGAAATTGCATATACAGGGTGTCTCATAATTAGCTGCCAACCCTGAACAGGCCGTTTCTATGATCAAAACTAAGTAAAAAAGTTCATATGAACATGGGTCCGGAAATGCTTCCTAAGGGCACAGGGACCCATTGAAGAGGGAGGAATGGAAATCATTTTTTTGCAATATCTCTCAATCGCGTTGTGATAAATGAATGAAATTTGGTATACACAGCTAAATTTTGATGAGCAATTTGATGGACTAATCCATTTATTTCCACAAGGTCCATTGGGGTGGGTACGGGGGGGCCCTTGGTACTTTGCGTGTGTAACTTTTTCATCTTTGACTTTTTAACAAATTGGACAGCAAATTCCGTTTTCCCGAACTGTTTTACGTTAAAAAGGTACTCTTGTTTCAAATCGTTATCTTTAACGGTTTCTGAGAAAATCGCTCTTGAATTAATCCCACTTTGGTCAATTTCATAGTAATTTAAACAAAAAAAATTTTTTTGTTTAAATTTAATCTAATTTTAATAAAAAAATAATAATAAAAAATTAAATTAAATAAAAATTAATCCTTTAAATGGAAAAGAGAGGAAAGGAAAATTATTATTATTTTTTTTTGTTTAAATTACTATGAAATTGACCAAAGTGGGATTAATTCAAGAGCGATTTTCTCAGAAACCGTTAAAGATAACGATTTGAAACAAGAGTACCTTTTTAACGTAAAACAGTTCGGGAAAACGGAATTTGCTGTCCAATTTGTTAAAAAGTCAAAGATGAAAAAGTTACACACGCAAAGTACCAAGGGCCCCCCCGTACCCACCCCAATGGACCTTGTGGAAATAAATGGATTAGTCCATCAAATTGCTCATCAAAATTTAGCTGTGTATACCAAATTTCATTCATTTATCACAACGCGATTGAGAGATATTGCAAAAAAATGATTTCCATTCCTCCCTCTTCAATGGGTCCCTGTGCCCTTAGGAAGCATTTCCGGACCCATGTTCATATGAACTTTTTTACTTAGTTTTGATCATAGAATCGGCCTGTTCAGGGTTGGCAGCTAATTATGAGACACCCTGTATAATTTTTCAAAAAATTACACATTTTTAGGATTATTTTATAATAATAATTCATGTTTTGATGCTGTTATCTGAGGAAGTGATAAAACCCGAAACAATTTTTGGATGAAAATTAGTTTTATAAACTATAGTGTTTATTTTGACCAGTATCCCAGAAAATAAATAATTTTCAAGAATTAATTATATGGTTAGAAAATTATACAGGGTGTAACTAAATAAGTGTAAAACATTTAAGGGGTGATTCCTCATCGAAAAAAAGATAGGATCTTTCATATAAAGAAACTCATTGGAGCATCCCTTGTTAAGATACAGCCCCTTAAAGGGGGTACATAAAATTTGTTTAACAATTTTTTTCACAAGCACTAAACAAGTTACAATATTGAAATTAACCTGACATTTTCTACTACCAAAAAGACACTTAGCCAGTAATTTATTTGGTTTACCCCATGGTTGTAAGGGGTGGAAAACGCAACCCCTAAAATTTATTTCCAACGTAATTTTTTGTCTTATTATTTTTTTACCATTTAAAAATTTATTTCCGATAGCCTGTTTCATTCTAAAAAAAAATGTCTCTTGAATTTTTTGCCCAAATTAAACCAGTTCGCAGCAAAAAATTATTTTACGAACAAGATACATATCGCCATAAAACGAAAATACGAAACTAATTTATCTAGTAGGCCGCCATTAGCGATACTGACAATTAAATTGGAATCAAGCTGTCAGTTTGTAAATTTTTGAAATTGAAGTAATACTAATTGTGTATTGTTCTGTTCTTAATTTGTTACTTTAATAATTCACTTGTTATTAAAATGGCATACACAAATGAGGAAATGGCTGATATGCATTACGTTTACGGTCTGTCGCAGGGGAATGGGTTAGAAGCTTCTACAAGATATGCTGAAATGTATCCTCAACGGCAGCATCCTTCACATAGAATATTTGTCTGACTTCATCAACGATTACGTGAATATGGTTCATTCAACAAAAGAACGCAGGATTGTGGTCGCCATCGAGAAGTAAGAACACCACAGCTTGAGGCAGCAGTACTTAATTTGATAGAAGAACAACCTACTACCAGTACTAGAAAGATTGCTTTCCAGCTAAATGTTGATCATATGACGGTATTTCGAATTTTAAAGGAACATCTCTTATACCCTTACCATCTGCAACGAGTACAGGCACTGTTACCGCGAGACTTTCCGAACCGTCTTGAATTTTGCAATTGGATGCTGGAAATGATTAGAAGAAATCGTGACTTTCTGAAGACGATCGAATTCACAGACGAATGTAGTTTTTCTCGGGACAAGATTATTAATTTTCATAATTACCACATATGGGCTGATGAAAACCCTCACGCTATTGTCGAAACTAACCATCAAGAACAGTTTTCTCTTAACGTGTGGGTCGGAGTTATTGGGGATTATTTAATTGGGCCTCATTTTCTACCTCCTCGATTAAATGGTGAGGCATACGTTCAATTTTTAAGAGAAGTGCATCCCGTACTGCTGGAGGAAGTTCCTTTGGGCGTCAGAAGGGATATGGTTTTTATGCATGATGGGGCTCCCGCCCATTTTAGTCAAGTAGCACGTCAGCATTTAACTGAAACATATGCAAATCAGTGGATAGGTCGAGGAGGACCACAGAATTGGCCCGCTCGATCCCCGGATCTCAATCCTCTGGATTTGTCTACTTGGGGCCATTTGCAGCATTTGGTTTATCGTACTCCTGTTCGCGATGTAGAGGACTTAAGAAACCGCATTATCGATGCGTGCAGGGTAATTAGAGAGACTCCAGGAATATTTGAGCGAATACGTGGCTCAATGCGCCGACGTCTAGACGCATGCGTAATGTCTGAAGGTAGACATATTGAACATTTACTATGATTTCTACATGTTGTATGTTTTGTTATTATTAAATTAGTTTTGATTATTCCCCTTTAATCATTTAATGCAGGTAGTAACTACAAAATAACAGTAAATCCAGTCCGCATTTATGACGATGTATCTCTGTAGTTGTTCGTAAAATAATTTTTTACTGCGAACTGGTTTAATTTGGGCAAAAAATTCAAGAGACATTTTTTTTTAGAATGAAACAGGCTATCGGAAATAATTTTTTAAATGGTAAAAAAATAATAAGACAAAAAATTACGTTGGAAATAAATTTTAGGGGTTGCGTTTTCCACCCCTTACTACCATGGGGTAAACCAAATAAATTACTGGCTAAGTGTCTTTTTGGTAGTAGAAAATGTCAGGTTAATTTCAATATTGTAACTTGTTTAGTGCTTGTGAAAAAAATTGTTAAACAAATTTTATGTACCCCCTTTAAGGGGCTGTATCTTAACAAGGGATGCTCCAATGAAGTTTCTTTATATGAAAGATCCTATCTTTTTTTCGATGAGGAATCACCCCCTTAAATGTTTTACACTTATTTAGTTACACAATGTATATACATATTTAAGAAGGATTACTATTAAAAAAAATATTTGAATTTTGAAATTTATGTTTTTTGTACACAAAACCCAACTTGGCATTTAAAAAAATTAAAAATGTACTTACGGTTAATCGCAGTTCCATAACTGGAATGTTCAGAAACTAGATTATGCACTCATGAGACTAAAAGTATAAATCACAACTACCAGTCTTAGATTCTCCCCCTGAAACAAACAAAATTCACGATTAATCGGCTTGCTGCTGCACCAAATAACGAGCGTTTGACGATTATCCTTTAAACAAAATACGTGCGTGCCACTGACCAATATAAAGAGTGACAATGGGTCGAATTTAAATTCTCGGCGTGTTTTTATTACACATTGCCAGACATACTCGAAATATAACCGACAGTGACAAAGTCATTGTTGATGATTACTTTAAGATTACCAGTTTAGGAGGAATCGGCGTAGTTCCAAAAACTATTCTGACTAAATTTTTTTGTATAATTTTCTTCATTATTTAGTCCTGATCATAAAAATGTATTTTGCCCGTTGGATAACTTGATTCCATAGTGTTTAAAACGAAAATGTTTAAACAATTGTTATTTTTAAACGAGACGATTTGTTTTCGTGTTATTTCACAAAAATATAAAAGGTCCTACGACTTTTTGTGATAAATTTAATATTTTCGGAGCAAAAAATTTATCTTTCCATGTAACATAACCTCAACTATTTAAAAAAAATCGCGATTTTGGCATTTTTAGGTTAGGATATCTCGAAAACCAGAGCCAATTAAGTAATTTGAACCTCGGATTCGATTTAGCGCACCAAATTCCTTTGGGAAAGTATATTCATGTTGTTGGGTAAAAGTCTTGTCGGCCTCTATTATTTAATCCGTGCGGTCACTAGTAGATGTTAATTACCTTCAGAATTTTTTTGGAAGCTTTGTGATCACGATTAAGTAAACAAACAGTAATAAGTAATCCAAATTATGTTAGTAATACGCGTTGTAGTAGCAGAAATAGGTTAAATCTGTGGTCAAGCCTCTAGCTCACGATGCACAATGCTAGCGACTACCATAAAAACATGTGCCATACACTCGACCAAGCAAAGCGTCAAAGTGACTTACACATGCACAAACGACAATGAAATGGATGGCCAATGTCTCTCAGCAAAAAACCGGCACGCCAAGCCGACAGGACAGGCATGAGAGTGCCGCTAGATACGTATCGAATATATTGATCGATGCGAAGCTTCAGATCAGAGGTAGACAAGTACATACAATGACGCGGATAGAAGGATTACGAAAATGTGAAGTAGTTTTTTTGACCAGTTTAGAAATAACATTTTTTGACAATTGTATAAACAATTTCGTTTCAAATCATATAGAATTAAGTTATCCCGGGGACAACCTTCATTTTTATGAACGGTAGTACATAATGCTCCGATTCCTCCTACCTCCTATATCTGTGCGGCGTACCTGTTTGAACAATACGGAAATTTTTGTTGCAAAACGAGGGAAATGAGTAAGTGTAACGTCCTAATGAAAGGTTTGGGTGTGGATTGTTTGGATGTAGTTTAGAATAGCGTTTTGAAACACCACAAACATTACTTATCAGTTAATCTTTGGGTCAAAATAATACGATTGTGTCATTTTATATCCTAATCCAAAAGGTGCGTTGTTGTGACAGGTTGTTTAAGCTCAAATATTTTTCGTAAAGTTCGTCTGTATCAAAACATCGTATTTGTCGATAATAAAAAATGCTGCTGCTGATGAAATTTTAGGTTAATATCAAGTGTACAGTGTCATATTCACAGCACTCTTATAAACAATGTTACATCTCTATCAAAAATTAAATATTAACTTTGGTTCTGCACAGGGTTGTTATCTGGTATTTCTAAATTGTACCAATTATCGGACGAAAAATGTACAGGGTGCTTCAAATTGGTCGGTCATAGATAGGGCAAATCTGATAGACGAGTCTAGAGCTCTTTTTTCGAGAGAATAACAATCTCTCTATCTGTTACCGATTTTTGGCTAAACCGACTGGTGCTCTTTTCTCGTTTCCTTTTCAAGATATCTTAACACAGTTTGAACATTCTACAGGTACTTTTTTGAGATACATTCGATGGCATAAAAATAAATGTGATAATATTTTTAGTTTTTGTGATATGACCACAAATTAAGTTTTTTAATATGGATCACCCTGTATTTTATTTCGAAATCGGAAAGAGGGCTAATAATGCATTCCAAAAATATATAACTTTACTTATTATTTTTTGTGTAGATTTGCGGAAAATATAAAATTTTCAAAATACCAAGGATATTTACATTTTCTGACTGAGAAGGCTTTGAAAACAAAGTTTGGGGTTTAACATTATTATGGCTTATTATTTTCTTGGAGTTCTAACTACAAAATTAAATATTGTACGGACTGTAATCGAGTTAATAAATAAATAAAATCACAATTATTCTAGCAAAAAATTTATTGAATTGAATCATTTCATAAAACATCCCTATACAAGTTACTTCGATAATTTTTAGAAAAAGAAATTTTTTTTTCAAAAATTAGCATTTTTTTCACAGTTTCATAAAACATTCCTATACAAGTTACTTAGATAATTTTTAGAAAAAGAATTTTTTTTTTCAAAAATTAGCTTTTTTTCAAAATTTTTTTTTACATTTTTTTCTTTTTTCAAATTTTTTTGAATTTTTTTTCTAAATTTTTTTCAATATTTTTTTTAAAAATAGTTTTTCAAAATTTTTTTCAAAAATTTTTCAAAATTATTTTCAAAAATTTGTTTCAAATTTTTAAAAAAGGAAACATTTTCATTTAAAAAAGTGAGTAAAAGATGGAAAATTAATCCTTTAATTGATTTTTAGTAAGTGACAATTTCAGTTATATTCGTATCACAATGAAAGAAAAATCGCAGCTATCTGAACTCTTGAGGGTTTCTTTGAGATATTATGAGGTTAAAAAACCCGAAAATATCCTTAGTCTATTCAATATTTGTAGTTATTTCAAGTTTAGCGAAAATTCGCAACTTTGTTTTTGTTTGGATGTTTTATGATTTTTTAATGGTGGTAAACAATAAAAATCTTTCAGATCGTAAAACTAGAAACTTGTTGTTTCTTCTACAGCTCTGCGACTGTTTTTCGCCAATTTACAGCCTTTTGAAAGTTACCTAAAAATTTAGGATTTTTTTCTTTGACTGACTTTTTCTTTTTCTTTTTGGTTTAATCGAAGTCAAGGTTTTATAAGAAGTTGAACGATGTTTCCAATTTTTTTTAGTTGATCAGAATCATCAGCAATTTTTGCGACCTAACCAGTTTGATTGTTTTTTACTTATCATCATCATTTTGACCTGAAGCTTGTCTACCGTTACTCTCCAAGTGTTTGTCTCCTAACATGTTCTTTCACCTTTTCAAACTGACTAAATATCATAAATATCAACCTGTATTGGTACCTGGAAATACACAAAACTTGATCTTTATGACGTGGTTATATTCAGATTTTAACAGCTGCATTACGTCCATATGAATTAAGCGTAATAATTTATTTCAAACTAACACTCCTCGATAACTGGTTGGGACAACATTGTGACAAGACTTCTGACCGAACAGAAAGGCAAAGATAATATTTGATCAACAGACGAGGCCCTCGGGTGCAAATTAGCGAAATTTGACAAAGTGCCCATCATTACGTTTTTACAAGCGCAACGCGGATTAACGGTAGTCAGTCGAGCAAACAATATTACCGGCGTCTTTAAAATAACCCGGCCCAGAGTTTTTCAGGAGAAGAGTCACCGCCTGGTGATGCCGTACGATCGGAACACCGATCCACTCGTGTAAATCTGAATTTAGAATTTAAATTGCACATTTGAATAATTTATAAATTATGATCGGGTTCACGCAGGACATTGCCTCATGGTTCTTTGATGTCGGATGGCGGATCATTGTAATTATAGGAACAGGACAAAGATAAGCTGATAAACGCGGACAATATGGAACATGATTCAATCCTTATTGTTTGGTGGATTGTGTGTTATGTTAGGACTCGTCATCGTGTTCTCTGACGTTTAGGGAGTGCCGGATTCAGTGATCATTTTTATAGATGGAACGAATAATGTCCATATTTGCTATTTAATCTAAAATGCTGTGATTTTAAGTATTTCATACATACAGGGTGTTAGAGGTTTGACTGCCTTAATTTTAACAGACGATAGAATACATTAAAATAAACAAAAAACCTTTCCTAAAAAATTATCAAAATCTCCAACTTAATGTACAAAAGTTTGATTAATTAACGAATATTGACATAACTGGTGCATAGAATACCATAAAAATACAATGCTTGTCACTGTTTTGAATTTCTTTATGCTTAATTCTAAAAAGTAATTAGCGATGTAACAAATTTAAAATTCGATAAAATTCATATCGAGCAATGTGACAACGGCGCGGCGGTTTACTAACACGAGGTACTAAGGTGTCCAGCAACCACCAATACACAATTCAGTTCGTATCTGGATTCGACCGTGTCGGAGTGTTTTTTGCGTACCACTATTTCCTTTTCTTGAGGTGGTGGACATTTTGAGCATATGTTGTAGTTTGTTTTGTACTTGTGCGTTTATAAATTACTGAATTTTGCTTTTTGGTACTTTAATTACATATTTTTCAAATTCATAATTTGATTAAAAGTTAAGCTTCTGTTTTAAGAGATTCATAATTCGTACTACAAAATCGATACATTTTATTTTATTTATTTAGAAACTGGAGAATAATTGTCTTGAAATTTACTAAATATTTCACAATAATAGCTGTTTACATTTTTTCCGTGGGACAAGTATGCCGCGTGTACATGTGGTGTGCATCAGCAGGTTAAGCGCTGTTGTCACGTTGTGATGAAACTCCCCAATATTAATACTCGCTGTAGGTATTTGGAAAACTGTTAATTACATTTTTTGGGAAAAATCCTCGAATAGGTCGATTTTTAATTTAAAAAATACATATTTTAGCATAAAAGGCGATTTTCAACCGTCATTTGTTTTCGAGTAATGACGTCATCGACATTTTTTTTAAATAGCAACCCCCTATTTTTGTCTTGATTCTGAAAGATCGTTTCATAGTCGATCCGACTCGACAGTATTAAAATGTTGCCATCTTACATAGGAAAGTTTTCGAGTAAATGACAATTGAATGTTAGAAAACATAAATTTTATTCATTAAAAAAATAACAATTCCTATGTCAAGCAAATACAATTCATTAAGTTTTCTACCTAAATTAACTCACCCAC